GTCTAGGATGACTTGCCATCACGGCAGCAACACTGGACATATTGCCCGTTATTGCCCTTTGGGATCTGCAGCTAATAATTGGAGACGCACAGCACCCAACACTGCCTGGAGACCGAGATGGGCCCAGAGGAATGTCTGGGTATCTTATATGAGGCAGACCCGATACAAGCTGCCTCCCCAGATAACCACCAGCATCATCGCCAGGAGGTGCGCGTGAATGGACAGGTAGCACAAGGCTTAAGAGATACCGGGGCTACCATCACCCTGGTAAAACCAGAACATTTATCCAATCGCACAGTTGCTGTCCGTGTCGCAGGGGGGGCTGTGTTTCGCTTACCCACTGCCCGGGTACACCTGGACGGGGAGTCGGGTTGGGAAAGACCATGGTGGGCATCATGGACAACCTGCCTGCCGAAGTCATGTTGGGCAATGACATTGGCCCTCTGGCTTCGGCCTATTTACCCACAACTGCTGCTGCTTGTCCCGTGACCACCCGTTCACAGACCCGTACCGCAGACGATCCTACAACAGGCCGGGAGACCCAGGTAAGCAAAGAACCGACTCTTAGTCCCACATAGCTTGGGATACCCCAGAGGAGTTTGGGAGGGAAACCAGAGAGGACCCAACCCTCCAAAAGTACCGTGAAATAGCTGACAGTGGGGGGGATGAGCGGCAACGTTTTGTATGGGATAACGACAGGTTGTATAGATTGACTGAAGGTAGGAAGAGAGGCTGTGTCCCTTCGTAGAAGCGCCAATTAGTGGTACCAGGAAAGTACCGGTTGGAACTTCTCCGAATTGGCCATGACATTCCGTTGGCAGGACATTTAGGGGGTAACCGCACCACCTAGAGGATCACCCAGACCTTCTTTTGGCTGGGGATCTCGAAGGATGTGCGGCGTTAATGCAGCACATGTGACGTCTGCCAACGAGATGGGAAGAGGGGGGATCACCCTAAGGCTCGACTGTCACCTATGCCCGTGATCAAGGAACCGTTTAGCAGGGTGGCAGTCGACCTGGTAGGGCCCCTACCTAACCCAAGTCCCTCCGGTAAGAAATATATTCTTACCGTAGTAGACTATGCTACACGCTACCCGGAAGCCGTCGCTCTGAAGAATATCCAGGCTGACACTGTCGCCAGTGCTCTAGTCGGGATATTCACCAGAGTGGGATTCCCCCAGGAAATACTGTCTGACAGAGGGACCCAGTTTACCGCAGACTTAACCCAACAGTTATGGAAGGTCTGCGGTATTAAGACCCTCCTCAGCTCACCCTACCACCCTCAGACTAACGGTCTCTCTGAACGTTTTAATGGTACTCTAAAGCAGTTGCTGCGGACCTTTACAGCGGAATACAGAGACTGGGAGCGATTCTTGCCGCACCTCTTGTTTGCATATTGAGAGGTGCCACAGGAGTCCACAGAGTTTTCTCCATTCGAGCTGCTTTATGTTCGGAGAGTTCGAGGCCCTCTCGATCTCATCCGAGAGCACTGGGAGGGAGAGATGGAGCATGAGGGTGTTCCCATTGTGCCATATGTTCTGGAGATGCGGGACCGCATGGAGCACTTAGCACGGATGGCACGAGAACATCTCCAGGAGGCCCAGGGTCGACAGAAACATTGGTACGATCGGGGCGCCCGTCAGAGAACGTTCCAGGTGGGGCAGAAGGTTCTGGTGCTTAGATCCGTTAAAGGGAATAAACTCCAGACCTCCTGGCAGGGCCCTTACAAGGTAGTAGCGCAAGTCTGCGACACTACCTATGTGATTGCCCCAACAAAGATGAAAGGATTCAGAAATCATTTCATGTTAATCTGTTGAAAGAGTACCAGGAAAGGCCAGAGGACATTGCAGCCATATGTATCCCAGCTGCTGAGGACCCCGACAGCCTACCTATCCCAGACCTTCTAGCACGCTCAGAACCCAATAGCCTGCTCAGTACGGTGCAACTAGGGGAGCGGTTAATATAAAAAAAAAAAACAAGGAAAAGAGGGGGGATGTTGTTCACTGTGGGGAATAACCCCTAGTGAATAGCTTCACCACAAATACAAAACTAAAGAGAGAAAAAGAAGGAGAAAAGTAGGACAGACTAATCAAAATAGTCCTAATAGAGTGGATTTCCCTTTAAGAAGAGGGAAATTTATGTAGGGAAAAATTAGTGCCTAATAACGCAATCCCAAATATAAAACTTAGCTTTTAATAACAACTAATTAAAAATGCAGATGATAGTGAATCCACCTAAACAATTGTCCACCTAAACAGCTATGTATATTAATAGCCGAACATCGGCACCTCGGGGAGCGGTTAACTCCTGCCGAAAAGGGGCAGATCCGACAGTTATTAACTGAAAAAGGGTTAACGTTTTCCCAGGAACCAGGATACACCGCACTAGTGACTCACTACGTAGAGACCCCAGGACAAAATCCTCTTAGGCAGACCCCCTACAGAATCCCTGAGGCAGTAAAGGAAGAGATGAGGAAGGAAATCCAGGAGATGTTGAGACTAGGGGTCATAGAGCCGTCCGATAGCCCCTGGGCCTCACCAGTTGTCCTGGTACCCAAAAAGGACGGAACTACCAGGTTCTGTGTTGACTATAGGCGCCTCAATGACCGTACAGTGACGGATGCCTACCCCATGCCCAGAGTGGACGAACTATTAGATCGTATTGCCAGGGGCCGATATCTGACCACCATTGATCTGTGCAAGGGGTATTGGCAGATTCCCCTGGCCAAGGAAGCTATCCCCAAGTCGGCGTTCGTCACCCTGTTTGGCCTGTACCAGTTCAAGGTCATGCCATTCGGGATGAAGAACGCCCCAGCTACCTTTCAACGCTTGGTGGATAGACTCCTTGATGGCTTCCAGGACTTCACTTGCGATGACATTGCGTACCTGGATGACATTGCGATCTTTAGTGAAACCTGGGAGGAACACTAAAGGCATGTAGAGGCCTAACTCTGAAACCAGAAAAGTGTCATTTTGGAATGGCCAAAGTCCAGTACTTGGGACACAGGGTAGGGTGTGGGAAACAGCAACCAGAGCCAGCTAAGGTTGAGGCTGTAGCCAACTGGCCCACACCCCACACCAAGACTCAAGTATTGGCGTTCTTAGGGACGGCCGGGTATTACAGGAAATTTGTCCCTGACTATAGTGCCATCGCTAAACCCCTGACCGACTTAACTAAGAAGAACTTGCCTAGAATAGTCCTGTGGTCTCCCACCTGTGAAACAGCCTTCCAAGCATTAAAGCAAGCCTTGATCAACGCACCTGTTTTGTCTGCCCCCGTCCCTAACAAAAAATTTGTCGTCCATACAGATGAGTCCATGTATGGACTGGGGGCAGTACTAAGCCAGATCGGGGACGATGGAGGGGAACACCCTGTCGTGTACCTGAGTAGAAAGTTATTACCCAGGGAAGTGAGCTACGCGGCAGTGGAAAAAGAGTGTTTAGCCCTGGTCTGGGCTCTAAAGAAACTTACACCCTATCTGTATGGTCAGGAATTCACCCTGATCACTGACCATAATCCCCTGGTATGGTTGAACCGAGTGGCTGGGGACAATGGACGCTTGCTCAGATGGAGCTTAGCACTACAACCCTACAATTTCTCCATCCAATACCACCCTGGCAAGTTCAATTGAGACGCAGATGGACTGTCCAGGCAAACAGAACTTCAATCCGGGTTTGCTGGAGTGTTCCACAAAAGGGGAGCAGTGTAACAGAACTGTACTTTCTGCCTGGACATATTTGACAATAATTAATCCTAATAATACAAGGGAATATACTTATCTGGTTATGTGAATTATTATAGCACAGTTCGGGACTTATGTTGCCAGTATTTGTCTATTTGTGCAATCCATGCGATAGAGACCCAGCAGGCACAAAGACGAATACAAACTGCCGAACACCGGACCACCCTGCTGTTCAATTAAGTGGTATTTTACCTCCCAGACCGGCATATACCGTGATTTACCGTCGAGTGTCTGGAACTAAAATCGGACACTCGAGTAGGCAAACACTGCTGAGACCTCCATAACATCGTAAATTCGTGCTGAAAATACCGAACGCTCGGCAGTTCGGTAGAAAGTATATATTACGTGCGGGGATTCCAGCGATCAACAAGATACATACGGATGGCAGGATTTTCGTGCCTTTTCGTCACACGAACGAGGTCGATCAAAACTTTAAAGTCCCATAACTCCCGAATGCTTTCACCGAATGGAATGATTTTTTAATATGTTGTTCCCCTAGATGATGGCTACATCCAAAACTTGGGTAAAAATGTGTGTGTGTTAATTATGTTAACTGTTTATCTGAGGGGAGGAGACGTGTGTGATGTACCATGTTTGTGATTGGGTATTGTACTAATTATGTGGGTGTCGCTCTCCCAAGGGCAGAATTGCATAAAAGGAGAATCCATATCAATAAAAGTTAGTTCTGCTTGACCCTTCAAAACGTAGCCTCGTCTCGTTCTTGGAAGGGGATTTACTGCACAATTACCTTGCTCCATTTTACAGCTATGCCTGACTTTACTCTTGGATTTCGTGGATGGGAATAAGAAACTCCATTACTACACAGCAGCTTGCCAGGAAAAGGACGTCTCCAATGGCTGATAACTTGGGTAGCCGTTACAGGGAGTAAGAAGAAGAGGGGGGAGTGAAGAGGGG